CACCGGCCATTCCTGCCACAATAGCAGTACCACCTGGCCACTATAGCAGAACCACCTGGCCACTATAGAGCCACCTGCCACAATAGCAGTACCACCTGGCCACAATAGCAGTACCACCTGGCCACTATAGCAGTACCACCCGGCCACTATAGCAGTACCACCTGGCCACAATAGCAGTACCACCGGCCACTATAGCAGTACCACCTGGCCACTATAGCAGTACCACCGGCCACACAGTACCACCCGGCCACCATAGCAGTACCACCCGGCCACAGCAGTACCACCTGGCCACTATAGCAGTACCACCTGGCCACAATAGCAGCACCTGCCACATACCCACTATAGCAGTACCACCCGGCCACAATAGCAGTACCACCTGGCCACACAGCAGTACCACTGGCCACCATAGCAGTACCACCTGGCCACTATAGCACCACCTGGCCACAATAGCAGGCACCACCCGGCCACTATAGCAGTACCACCTGGCCACAACAATACCACCCGGCCACTAGCAGTACCACCCGGCCACTATAGCAGTACCACCTGGCCACAATAGCAGTACCACCTGGCCACTATAGCAGAAACCACCTGGCCACTATAGAGAACCACCCGGCCACTATAGCAGTACCACCTGCCACAATAGCAGAACCACCTGGCCACTATAGCAGTACCACCTGGCCACTATAGCAGTACCACCTGGCCCACAGTCTGGCCACAATAGCAGTACCACCTGGCCACTATAGCAGGAACCACCTGGCCACTATAGCAGTACCACCCGGCCACTATAGCAGTACCACCCGGCCACTATAGCAGTACCACCCGGCCACTATAGCAGTACCACCCGGCCACTATAGCAGACCACTGGCCACTATAGCAGTACCACCGGCCACTATAGCAGTACCACCTGCCACAATAGCAGTACCACCCGGCCACTATAGCAGTACCACCCGGCCACTATAGCAGTACCACCCGGCCACTATAGTACCACCCACCATAGCAGTACCACCTGGCCACTATAGCAGTACCACCTGGCCACAATAGCAGAACCACCTGGCCACTATAGCAGTACCACCTGGCCACTATAGCAGTACCACCTGGCCACTATAGCAGCACCACCCGGCCACTATAGCAGTACCACCTGGCCACAATAGCAGAAATTACCTGGCCACTATAGCAGAACCACCTGGCCACTATAGCAGAACCACCTGGCCACTATAGCAGTGCCACCGGCCACTATAGCAGTACCACCGGCCACAATAGCAGTACCACCGGCCACCATAGCAGAACCACCCGGCCACTATAGCAGTACCACCTGGCCACTATAGCAGTACCACCCGGCCACTATAGCAGTACCACCCGGCCACTATAGCAGTACCACCTGGCCACAATAGCAGTACCACCTGGCCACTATAGCAGAACCACCTGGCCACTTAAGGACTCACCTGGCCACTATAGCAGTACCACCTGGCCACTATAGCAGAACCACCTGGCCACAATAGTATAAACTACCCGGCCACTATAGCAGAACCACCTGCCACTATAGCAGAACCACCTGGCTACTTAGCAGTACCACCCGCCACTATAGCAGAACCACCTGGCCACTATAGCAGTACCACCCGGCCACTATAGTACCACCTGGCCACTATAGCAGTACCACCTGGCCACTATAGCAGTAACCACCTGGCCACTATAGCAGAACCACCTGGCCACTATAGCAGTACCACCTGGCCTACAGTTCACCGGCCACTATAGCAGAACCACCCGGCCACTATAGCAGTACCACCAGCGCCACTTGGTACCACCTCCACAATAGCGCACCACCTGGCCTAAACAGTACCACCCGGCCACTATGCTGGAACCATGCCCTATAGCAGAACCACCCGGCCACTATAACCCGGTACCACCTGGCTACTATAGCAGTACCACCTGCACAATAGCAGTACCACCTGCACTATAGCAGTACCACCTGGCCACTATAGCAGTACCACGACCCGCAGAACCACCGGCCACATAACTATTACCGCCTGGCCACTACGCCAACAGGCCGCCTATTATTCAATAGCGGTGCCACTAAAGCCTGCCAGACCTGCCTGACCATAACAATTCACCGCCCACAACCTGTTCTTCACCTGACGCATAGCATAAACCCACCTGCCCACTATAGCAGTACCACCTGCCACTATAGCAGTACCACCCGTACTATAGCAGTACTGGCCCACTATAGCCACTCACCCGGCCACTATAGCAGTACCACCTGGCCTGGCCATCGGTCCACCCCTGCCACTATAGCCAGAACCACCTGCTACTATAGCAGTACCACCTGGCCACTATAGCAGTACCGCCCATTACGCTGGCAGTACCACCTGTCCAATGTACGGTACCACCTACTATGACGGTGCCACCCGGCCACTATGGCAGTACCACCCGACGGCAGTCCTGCACGGCCACTATAGCGTTACCTGGCCACTATAGCGAACCACCTGGCCACTTATCGACAGTA